AGTGTTCAGAGAACTTCTGGCTGGGAATGTAAAAATTAATAAAAGTAAACCCTAGGGGCCAGCAGAGGGAGCTCTCACATCCTACCACTTGTCAATTGCAGACCCAACAGGAAGAGGCTTGCCTTCCAGGTAGGTTTGGGCTACCCTTTTAACTATCCCAGCAGGAGGAGGACAGTTTTCCTCCTTCCCCTGGCAACAGCCCAGCCAATGAGAAACTGTCACAACTCAGCTAATGAAAAGCCACTATACTTCTAGCTCCCAGTTTTACACCAATGGACTTTTTGTTTATAGCAGCTCCGCCCAAACCCCCTCTATAAAAGAGCCAGTCTTTCCTTTGTTCTCTTGGGACTTGTGTGTAGTTTTGCAGTGGCCTTCTTGTCCCGGTTTGTAATCCTCTGCTACCCCAAATGAACCCAATTTTGTTGGTAAAATAACTGGCAGTTTTATTTCTTTTTTAAAAAGTTTTTAAATGTTTATTTTTGAGAGAGACAGAGCACAAGCTGGGGAGGGGCAGAGTGGAGAGAGACATGGAACCCGAAGCAGGCTCCAGGCTCTGAGCTGTCAGCACAGAGCCTGACGTGGGGCTCGAAGTGAAATCATGACCTGAGCCAAAGTTGGACGCTTAACTGACTGAGCCACCCAGGTGTCCCGAATTATACCCTTTTATAGCAAACCGGTAACCTAGTAAGTAAAATGTTTCTCTGAGCTGTGTGGGCTGCTTCCTTCCCGAGGAAGGAAACTTTAATTTATAGCCAGTTGATGAGAAGCACAGTTGACCCTGGACAACGCGGGTGCTGACTCCCGTACACAGTCAAAAGTCCTCGTATAACTTTTGTCTCCCCCAACACGTAACTAATAAATAGCCTACAGTTGACTGGAAGCTTTACTGATAACGTAAACAGTTGATTAACAAATATTTTGTGTGTGACATGTATTAGGTGCTCTACACTTAAGGTGAGCTAGAGAAAAGAGAATGCTATGAAAATCATAAGGAAAATACATTTACAGCACTGTACTGTATGGGAAAATATCTACATGTAAGAGGATCTATGCAGCTCGCACTCCTGTTGTTCAAGGCCCAGCTGTATAGGCAACATCCTGGACTTTGAGGTTGAAGCCTGAAGTGGGGGGGGGGCAGTCTTGTAGGGCTGAAGTAAAACTTTAGCCAGTGGAATCTGATGCTGTCTCTGAGTAGATAGTGTCTGAATCGAGTTTAATTGTGGGACACCCAGCTGGCATTCAGAGCATTGTCTTTTGGTGTAGGGGACCCCTCTCCCCCCACCAAGCACATGCTGGAATTTGTACCAGAATCAAAGACCAGCAGCCTCTCCAGAATGATGGCCCGGTTGCAGCAATGACTCTTGGTTCGTGTTTGCAGATTGGGGGAGACTAAGGAGGGGCAGGGAACATTGATGCTGTGCACATGTATGGATGACATTTGCAGTGGGACTCCCCTGGTGGGAGGCAGAGACAGATGAGTGCCTGCCGAGACTGGCCTCCTTAGGCTAAAGCACCCAGTGGAGGTGTCAGAGCAAACCCAAGTCTTTTTCCTGGGGAAGTGTAGATATCAAGTGCCTCAGGATCCCCAGATGTCTCATCACACCTAGAATAAGAGTTACACATTTATATTTTGCTATTTTTCTCATTATGGATTCTTTTTGCATTATAGTAAAACCTCGGTTTGTGAGCATAATTCATTCTGGAAACATGCTTGTAATCCAAAGCACTGATAAACCAAAGCGAATTTCAAGAACCGTTGGCTTAGTTGTGATCCTGTGATGTTCAGCGTCATGTACTACTTGTATTGCAAGACTTCACTTGTCTATCAAGTTAAAATTTATTAGAAATGTTTGCTCATCTTATGGAATGCTTGCAGAACAAGTTACTTGCAATCCAAGGTCTTGCTGTAATTTTGATTTGTTAAAGTATAGCATTAAAATATCATTTACCTTGATTACTGCATTGTAAAATTAAAATTTTGCACCCAAACTAGGGCCTCACTTGTCTCACCCTAGTCACGGCCCTGGCTGGGATGTTGAAGTGTGAGTTCCTCGAGGGTATTAAGTCCAGGATTGAAGTGTAAGCACCGCTTTGCCCTGGGGTGCGACATTGGACTTCATGGCTCCTTTATGGTTCAGTGTGGCTGCATTCTGAAAAACATGTATGGTACGCTTTCCCTGGAACAGGCGCTGGGAATACAGATATACACAAAACTTGGTCCCTTCTCTAAAAATTCCTATCTAGCAGGGATAGGATGGGAAGCATGCCACTACCACATAGTGAGTGTGCTGTCAGGGGTAGCTCATAGTGATGTGGAGAACAGGGAGACCCCAGACCCAGCCTGTAGGAGGTAGGGGTCTGAATCCTATGGGAAGCCATTGGTTCACTTGAAGGATGAGTTGACACTGACCAGGCTCAGGAAGAGGGAACAGTAGGATCATAGGTACAGAGGCAAGAGACTAGGTGGTTGAGCAGGAAATTATAAGTAGTTCCACACCACTGAAGCATATATTTTGGGCAGGGAGGTTGTAATGAATAATAAAGCTGGAAGAGGCAAGTGCAATAAGACCATGAGGAGCTTTGGAAACCCTATTAAGGAGCTCTGACTTTATCCTGTGTGTAATAGGGAGTTATTGAAGTCTTTGAAGCAGATGGGGAACATGAGACTCACTAATGTGAAGATTAAAGCTGTGCCTTAAATAACCTACCTAAAAAGTAGCATATAGGGTTTCTTTTTCTCCACATTCTTGCCAACATTTGTTATCTCTGGTCTTTTTGATTAAAGCCATTGCAATAGGTGTGAGATGATCTCTCATTGTGTTTTGATTTGCATTTCCTTGATGATGAGTAATGTTGACTATCTTTTCATGTATGTGTTGGCCATCTGTATGTCTTTGGAAAAATGTCTATCCAGGTCCTTTGCTGATTTTAAAATTGGATTATTTGATTTTCTGCTATTGAGTTGTATTTTTTTTAATATGTATTTTGGATATCAGCCCTTTATCAGATACATGCTTTATGACTCTTTTCTCCCATATTGCCTTTTCAATTTATTGATTGTTCCTTTGCTGCCCAGAAGCTCTTTAGTTTAATGTAGTCCCAGTTGTTTATTTTAATTTTGGTTGCTGATATTTCTGATGTCCTACCCAAGAAATCATTGCCAAAACCAATGTCAGGGATTTTTTCCCCCGTGTTTTTTTTTTCCCCTAGGAAGTTTGTGGGTTCAGACCTTATGTTTAAATCTTTGATCCATTTAAAGTTAATCTTCTTGAGTGGTATAATATAGGACTCTTAGGTATAGATACAAAAGAATTGAAATCAGAACCTTAAAGAGATATCTGCACACCCATGTTTACTGTGGCATGCTTAACAATAGCCAGCACATGGAAGCAACAAATTGTCCATCAATAGATGAATGGATAAAGAAGACACACACACACACACACACACACGCACACACACACAGGAGTATTACTCAGCCTTGAGAAAGAAGGAAATCCTGCCATTTGCAACAACCTGGATGGACCTTGAGGGCATTATGCTACATGCGATAAGTCAAACAGAGAAAGACAAATACTGCGTGACATCACTGATCTGTAGAATGTAAAAAAGCTGAACCTGTAAAACAGAAAATGATGGTGGTTACCAAGGGCTGGGGAGTGGGAGAATTGGGGAGATGATATTTAAATGTATAAACTTGCAACAAGTCAGTAAATAAGTTCTGGAGATCTAAGAAAAAAAAAAGTAAAGTAAAAGAAAAAGAAAGAGAAAAGCATATTACAGTACAAAGACCACTGGCCTAGTGTTTGGGAACCTGGCCTGGGCTGTACTTCAGGCTTTGTTCTTATTGGCCACTTCAGGGGACTTGAACCAGTTTTCCCTTTTGGAACCTCAGTGTTGTCTTCTGCATAACTGAGGGGAGGGTGTCAAGCGTTGCAAGGATCCCCTAGAACATCTACATGATGAGATTTGGCACCACCTGAGGTTCCTCTTGAGAAACTAAGAATTTATCTTTACTACACAGAGAATCTTTTCCTTCAGAACATCATGGATTAATGTTTCTGCGCTCTGCCCTGTATTTACAACGAATCTCAGCCCACTGACATAGTTGAGAACTGGGCTAGCTTTGGTCCACAAAGTCCCTTCTCACTGTCTCTGCATCAAGTATTGATGCTTTTTTTTTGTAATTAGTTTTTTTTATGTTTAAGAAACACATTCTTCTTTATAAAATTTTAATTCCAGTATAGCTAACATATGGGGTTATATTAGTTTCACGTCTAAAATATAGGGATTCAAGAATTCTATACAACTATCAGTGCTCATCAAGATAAGGGTACTCTGGGGGTTCCTGGGTGGCTCAGTCGGTTAAGTGCCCAGCTTCAGCTCTGGTCATGATCTCATGGTTCGTGGGTTTGAGCCCCACATCGGGCTTGCTGCTGTCAGCTCAGAGCCTGGAGCCTGATTCGGATTCTGTGTCTCCCTCTCTCTCTGCCCCTCCCCTGTTCACACATGCTCTTGCTCTCTCAAAAAATAAATGAACTTAAAAAAAAGAGAGCTAAGTGTGCTCTTAATTCCCTTCACCTATTTCCCCCACCCCCCTCCACCCCCCACTTCCCCTCTGAGAACTATCTGTTTGTTTTCTGTAGTTGAGAGTCTCTTTTTTGGTTGGTCTCTTTTTTTCCCCTTTGTTTCTTAAATTCCACGTGTGAGTGAAGTTCATTGCTTATTCTTTTGCCCATTATGCTGATGTTACTACAAAATGGATCCCCAAAGAGGTATCCTGAAGGCTAAATATGGAGGCAGAGCCCCTGGGACCCTTATCTCAGTGAGTCCCCTCATTGCCGCCACTTAAGAAGCACCCCTTCAACCAGTTCTTACCACCAAAATCTCTCAATGGGAGGGAGCACAGCCCTGCCACATCCATGTGTGCCTCCCTGACCACACCACCTCCCTCCTTTTGCGTTCCTTCATAAAGATGGCTGCCTGTGTTTTCATTGCAGAACTCCTCTGACAGGGAGTCCATCCTGAACATCCTCCAGGTTCTCGGAGATCTGCTTTCTGTTGGTGAGTAGGAGGTAGTGGGGGCATGTGGCTGTGTGTCTCCCGGAATCTGTGTGGCCTGGAGGGTATTGCTTCAGCTCAAGTTCTCTGTCAGGGACTCTGTCACCAGCCCATCTTTTTCGCTGAGGTTAATAAGACCCAGGGTAAAGTGGGCTGATTGTACTTTGGGCTCTTAGTGTTCTTCAGTCTTGTCACACACCCTATGGTGACCCAAACTTAGGAGGAAATTCTGCTCTCAGTGGTTCTTCTACGATATCTCATCTATGGTTATCCCAGGTCAAAAGAGAGAGCTAGCCCTTCATGACTCTACCCCTCCCCTTTCTCTGCTCCCCTCTGTTGGCCCATTAGACAGCCAGGTATTAGCAACTTCTTTTTTTTTTTTTAATTTTTTTTCCCAACGTTTATTTATTTTTGGGACAGAGAGAGACAGAGCATGAACGGGGGAGGGGCAGAGAGAGAGGGAGACACAGAATCGGAAACAGGCTCCAGGCTCCGAGCCATCAGCCCAGAGCCTGATGCGGGGCTTGAACTCACGGACCGCGAGATCGTGACCTGGCTGAAGTCGGACGCTTAACCGACTGCGCCACCCAGGCGCCCCTTAGCAACTTCTTAATGTATGTCAAGTGCAGATGGGAATATGGGGTAGGAGGTGGACTTAACAGTGTGGTAAGCTGTTAAGTTCTCAGAGAAAAGATGACAGAGTTCACTGTGCTGGAATCAACTGAGTTAACTGGGGCAGGCCTCGGCTAGCTCACTTCAGCATGAGGGTCCTGGAAAATATACCTTCTAGGACATTGCAACATTCACTCTGTTTCCATTTCTGGGTATACCAGCCACATTGCATTAGAAAGAAACGTTAACACCAAACAGACAATACCAAAGTGAATGTCCCTTTCAAGCCACAGAGCCTCCAATTACAGGTTCAGGAGGAAGGGTCCAGTCATAGTGAGGTTTTCCTATAGGCTGTGCTGCCCTCTGATGGCAGGGTGACTTCCCAGCAGTCTGCTGAGTGAGGTACCCTTTGCAGGTGAAGCCAATTGTCTTCTGGGATGGTGCCTCCTTCAATTTGTCCAGAGGTGTCTGGAAGACTTGAATGAGACCTTGGAGTTCTCCTTCTGAGATAGGTGCTGATTATTGTTCCTTTAGTAGAGGATGCTACTTTTCATTGGGATTAAAAATCAGAGGGTCCCCTTTGCCGATAATGTCCTACCCTGTTGGCCACCTTGTGAGGACAACCATGCCCAGTGCATAGAGAATCACCGAGGTCTCCTTCCAGGTTGAAATGTAATCACTGCTTTTGAGCTTGTCCTGGAGCAAGGTTGGGGGGGGGCTGCTCGCAACTATTCTTAAGTAGAAAGACCAGTATATTTTATCATAACTCCACACCCTTAAAAATTTTTTTTAAACATTTATTCATTTTTGAGAGAGAGAGAGAGAGAGAGAGAGAGAGAGAGATTGAGAGAGAGAGAGAGAGAGATTGAGAGAGAGAGACAGAGCACGAGTTGGGGAGGGGCAGAGAGAGAGAGGGAGACATAGAATCCAAAGCAGGCTCTAGGCTTTGAGCTGTCAGCATGGAGCCTGATGTGGGGCTCAAACCCACGAACTGTGAGATCATGACCTGAGCCAAAGTCAGATGCTTAACTGACTGAGCCACCCAAGCGCCCTCCACACCCTTTTCAAAACTCCTGAGATGGATGATTGGATGCCTGTTTCTTAAGGAATCGCTCTAGCTATTTCCATATATTCCTCTCATTCATTGCTGAAGACCAGCATCAAAAAAGTCGTATACCATAAATTAAATTATTCCAGATAAACTATCACCCCAATCCCTGTTACTGAAGAGTCACACCTATATCAGAAGAATACTGATATTCCCTCTTCTCTTAAAGGTATGATTCTAGGTAAGCCTATATGCATGTTTATATACATGCACACGCAAGTACACATACGTACACTGAGACTCAGCAGGTTCTCAGGAAAGCGGACTCCATTTATTAGAGCTGTGATAGGTGAGCGCACGTAGGTTCTTACATATTCCATTATTTCTCCATTTCACACCTCCATCCCAACCCCTTACCTGAGTAAAAGCACAACTTGACACAAGTTGCTTCAGAAACCATACAGTCTTGGTTTCTGGGGCGAATGAAGTGATCCTTGCTCCATCTCTGTCTGTGAGGCCCGCTTTCTGCTCCGAGGAAATGAGGTTGATTGTTTGGGGGCCTAGCTCTCCTCTCCTTTCTCCCTCAGGCACTGACCGAAGGATTCGCTACATGATCAGTAAGGGTGGCAGTGAGGCCCTTCTGCAGACCCTGGTGGACACAGCGAGGGCAGCCTCTCCAGACTATGATGTCCTCCTGCCCCTGTTCCGGCTGCTGGCCAAAGTTGGCCTACGAGGTACCCCCACCCCCGGACCTGAAGATGACCAAAAGGCACTTGTGGGATTGTTATCAGGAGAGCAATTTGGGAAACTCCTGTGGGGGAAGTGCGGGGGGACCTAGACACCCTGGTGGTGGTGGTGGTAGGACTGGCCCCACAGGAGAGGTGATTTTGTTGTCCTGGATGTGCTATGGCAGAGCCCAGAGCAGGCCCAGGCTCCGGAGCATGGAGCAGGTGGGGGACCGAGAGGTAAGAGTCCCAGGCAGTTGTCACTCACTTACCAATAAACAGAACCATCTTACATGGACGTTCATTATGTAAGTGCATGAGTTTCCCACAGCTGCCATAAGGAATGACCACAAACCACGTAGCTCAAAACAACAAATTTATTCTCTCACCGTTCTAGAGGTGAGAAAGTCTGAAATCAGGGTGTTGGGAGGGTTGGTTCCTTCTGGAATCTGAGGGAGAATCTGTTTGGAGCCTCTCTCCTTGCATCTGTGTTTCCAGCCATCCTTGGTGCTTCTTGGCTTGGACACACATCACTTCATTTTCTGCCTGCATTTCCGCATGGTGTTCTGTTGTATGTGCCCTTTGTGTCCTCTCCTCTTCTTACAAGGACATTGGTCACTGGATGTAGGGCCCACACAAATCTGTGTGACCTCATCTTAACTAGTTAAATCTGCAAAGACCCTGTCTCCAAATAAGATAATCTTCTGAGGTTCCAGGTGGACATGAATTTTGGGAGGCCAGTGTTAAACCCATTACCATCAGTCACATGGAAGTGGAGCTTCCTTTGTAGAAAAGAAGATGGGGGCCTAGAATTCTTTCCACTTATGCTCTATTCCCATTTCTTTTGTCTCAGAGAAAGCCCTGAAACACCTCCCTAAAACCTTAGAACTTCGTGGGGCACAGTTCAAAAAGCCTGGGTGCTCAGGATGCATGTAAACCTTGCAGCCTAATCATACTAGCTAAGCTCCCATTGTGTGCGGTCTTACGTAAGTCATAGTTGAGAAGCCCAGGGGCTGTGAAACGTGGGCTTTTGTTGTCCAGTGCAGCCAGCAACAGTCCAGGACACAGGGACTCCGGGGCACTCTTACCTTTCGTTGTTTGGATCGCTGCTGCGTCCATTCAACATTCCACAAACAATGACTAAGACTCAGGCACCAGCCAGCACCTGCATGAGTGTGTTCTAGACAAAACCAGTATAACTCATTCATTGAATATTCAACCAGCTATTTACTACACATCTCCTAGGGCTGGGCACCATACTAGGCCCTGGGAACTCTGGTGACCAAGAGAGGTAAGGGGCCTGCTCTCATGGAACTTACATTCAAGTGGGCAAGGGCAGACGGTGATTAATTAACTAGACAGTAGCAGACTCTGATAGTTAGCTAGTAGCTATGAGGGAAAAACAGGGTGATGTTCCTCTAAGATGGTGTGGTCAGGAAGAAGTGACATTTGAGCCAATAGTTGAAGGATGAGAAGAAGTCAGAGCAAAGTGTGGTCAAGTGAACTTCAGAAAAAGATTGAGGAGGGGCACCTGGGTGGCTCAGTCGGTTGGGTATCCGACTTCAGCTCAGGTCATAATCTCCCAGTTTGTGAGCCTGAGCCCCTCATCGGGCTCTATGCTGACAGCTCAGAGCCTGGAGCCTGCTTCAGATTCTTTGTCTTCCTCTCACTCTGCCCCTTCTCTGCTCATGCTCTGTCTCTCTCTGTCTCTCAATAATAAATAAACATTAAAAAATGTTTTTAAAAAGAAAAAGATTGAAGAGACACAGTCTCTACTCTGGTTATAAACAGTATAAACTGGGAAGCCATGCCTGAGTTTCAGGCCTGGCCCTGACACTATTAGCTGTGTGACCCTGGGAAAATTACTTAACCTTTCTGAACCATTGGGTTCTCCTCTATAAAATGGAGGTATCAGTACTTAATTCTTGGGTTGGTGTAAGGATTGAGGTTGTAAGTGACCTGCTTAGTGTGTGGGGCCAGAGGCCTGGCAAATAAGAGTCATGTAGGTTTCATAGGAGAAAGACGAGAGATGTACCAGGGCCCTGATTTCCAAATTGCGAACTGTTGTCATTGTATCACCACGGCCTCTGCCATCACCAGATTGTAGTCCTCACCATTGCCATGCAGGCTGCCATTGGCCAACCTATACAGAACGGAAATGAGCTTGGCTGCTCGGGAGTAGAGCCCGATAGATGCTTCGCTTCTGGTGACAGGAACTGGTCATATTAGTTTGGTCACCACCTCTTCGCTGGTGTCTTGGTCTGGAGGTGAATATTGATAAACCAGGTTTGGGACACTGTCTCTGTTTTTCTCATTTACAACTGCAACGAATCTGATAGTGCTTGTATTGTGCAAAAACAAACGTAGCAATTTGGACATTGTGCTTTGGGAAGGACAGAAACAAATGTGACAGGTGGCACAGCCACCTGTTATAGGAAATGCCAGAACCAGAGAATGAAAGGTACTTTCCCCTTATTTTTTATGCTTGCTAATTATTTATGCTTTAATAATTATTAAAATAATGATGACCTACCTGCAGCACTAAATACCAGATTATTTGGATCGTAATTTAGAGAAATTTGTGAAGAAAAATTTATTATCTTACATTATGTTTTCACCTTTTAATTAGCAATAATCATGCCTCAGATAAACCTCATTGGCTATGATATTGCCACTGCACAAAGCTTGTTTTCACTTTTTAATATAAAGCTCTCTATCATATAGAAAGATGACCTTTTATTGCTTAGGCCTAACCATTGTTAACATTTTGCCGTATTTTCTTCACCTGTTTATTTATTTATTTATTTTACTAAAAATTTTTTAAAAATGTTTATTTATTTTTGAGAGAGAGAGAGAGAGAGAGAGTGTGCGACAGGGGGAGGGGCTGAGAGGGAGACACAATATGAAGCAGGCTCCAGATTCTGAACTGTCAGCACAGGGCCCTACGTGGGGCTTGAACTCATGAACTGTGACATCATGACCTGAGCCAAAGTTAGACACTTAACTGACTGAGCCACCCAGGCACCTTATTTATTTATTTTTAAAGTTAATTTATTTATTTTGAGAGAGAGAGCATGGGAGAGGGGCAGAGAGAGAGGGAGAGAGAAAGAATCCTAAGCAGGCTCCACACTGTCAACAAGGAGCCCAATGTGGGGCTTGAACTCACGAACGGTGAGATCACGACATACACTGAAATCGAGAGACAGGCACTTAACCAACTCAGCCACTCAGGCACCCCTTCGCCTGTTTATTTTTATTCAAAATATTCTAAGGAAAGTTACAGGTAGAATTTTGCTCTTAAATATGTTCGAGTACATTTCTTTGAAAAGAGATATTTTCCTATACAACCCTAATACGTGATTACAAATCTAACAAAATTAAACATGCATGCATAATTTATCCTCATTTCAGTTTCTCCAAATATCCCAACAGGCAAATTACAGACGTGTTCAAAGAAGGATCCAATCAAGTTCTACACATTGCATTTGAATGTTGGGTAACTTACGTATCCTATATTCTAGAACTATCTTAAAGGAAGAAATTTATACCCTACTAAACTGGAATTCGTATTTGAGGACAGCCAGAAACATGCTTCCATACAGGGGGTATGAGTCACACAATCCACAAGGCCTCTTGTAAATATTACATGAGGAATAAATGGACTCCGCATATACCCTGCCTTAGCTCTCTGAGCCATCTCATTCCAATGGGAACATACCTAGTAGCATTTTCTGCTATATCCATAAATCTCATTGGCTATCATCATTCTCTTGCCTCTATTGTCTTTGCGTTCCTGTTCCTCATGCATTGTATAACCTTCAGAATTCGTGGGAAACACAGCTAAGATGGATTGCTTTGTGTTCATAGATAAAAAGTTTGGACAGAAGGCACTGGAGTTGGAAGCACTTGATGTGACGTTAATTCTGGCCAGGAAGAACCTATCTCACAGTCAGAACCTCCTCCACTGTCTCTGGGCTCTGCGTGTGTTCTCCTCCAGTGGTAAGTTACTCAAATTGTGGCTTTCTGGAGTGGCTTCCCGACTTGGGCGGGACACCTACAAACCATTTAGGGCTGGGGGTTGGAAGGAGGGTGTGGGTGGAGGATACATGTCATCCCAAGAAGATCAATAAGCCATGAGGAGCCTCCTGTCCTAGAGGCTGTAGAGGTGAGAATTTCTTTCTTTGTCTTTTCCTCATCCAGGCAGAACTCTTGAGCTCATTCCCGAGTTAGATGTCAGTGTTGTTTTCCATTGGGAACCACTTATTAGAGTCCTCTAGGCCTCTCTATTAGTACTACAAGGTGAGAAAGACCTGTGGCAGAAGACATCATAGGACTTCATTCAGGCCTTATCATATCTAAGGCACAGGGCAATGTCAACAATGACCCTTCACATCACAAATCTCCCTACTGTGTCCCTGAAGTTGCTTATTGATCACAGCATCCTTTAGCAAAACATCTTTTACTTTGTTTTATCTCTCACTGCTTCTAGCATAGTCCTTCAGGTAGCTAGATGCGTCCCAGCACACGGCTTGATATTTATTTGCTGTCTCCTGATCTGGATGGTTTCAGATTATCCTAACAATCCTGTATCTCCATTTACCATTTTATAGCTAAGAAAAAGAGAACAAAGCTTGGAAGAGTGAAGTACTTGCTTGAATTTATACAGACAAGTTTGGGGGCTGAGTTTCTAACTCTAAAACTCATGTTTACTCTCCATATGGGGACACTTCCTGTGAACAGATTAGATTCTGTACCTTCTATCTCACATAGAATGAGCACAGACGTTATTTCTCTTTTCTGAGCCCCTTTCCTGCACAGTGAAAGTGATGTAATGCTCTCTAGAGGGAAGAACATGGCTTAGATCCAGGAAGACCTGGGTTTGACTTCATTCTTTGGGAGTCCTAAGGCATGGGCATTTAACCTGTTTACTTTGGTTTCTTCTTTTATAAAATTATGGTGGTCATAAGAGCTCATAGACTTGGTAGATGGGGTAAGTGAGGTGACGTTCATGGGTATGTTTGTCACATAGCACTTGCTCAATTAGTTTTCCTTCCCTGCTCTACTCTTTTCCCTTAGTCCTTTGAAATAATAGGTAGGAAGAACACACATAAGGGGGAAAGGTGGAGGCTTTTCCCTTTGTCCTCAGAACTGCTAAGATCCTTAGTAGGGTCATATTTCATTGGCTAATTCCATTAATAACCATGAAGGACCCATAAAGAGAAAGTATTTCTAGGAAGAAACAAGATAGATCCTTGACTCCGTGTTCACAGATAAAGCCTCCTCCCACACTCATATGTTGACCAGGAAAATCAGAGAATATTTGGGAGAGGCCGATAAGATCTATATAAACCAGTCCATCTTTAATTAAGAAAAACCTAAGTGAGGAGCTATGTAAAAGGCAACTCTCATTAATAAGCAGCCAGAAAGTCTGCCACCCCCATCTGGAACTTGCCAGCAGCACAAGATTTGAAGTATCTCATTTTGGTTTCCTGAACAATAGTTATTAGGCTGAATAACCCAGCTTTCTTCTCATATATATAGGTTATAGAGATCTTGAAGAATTCATTTTAGTGGGGAGCTCTAAAGAAATGCTGGGATTTGCCTGTAGGTATGAGGGGCTGGCCATTTGTCTCATGTTCTACGACTGTATTTATTGTACCAATGAAATGTTTCATATGCTATTTAACAAAATTATACTATCACTCTGTATACATTGACTTCACTGATGAGAGGTGAGCAGAGTTCACGAATCCTGTGGATGGATTGCTGTCCCTTTGGTGAATTGTTAGCCACTGTTGAATGTTCCAGGCAGCTTTCTAAACAGCTCCTATCTGTGGAAGGAGTTGGCTGGAGCCATAATGGGTCTGTGACAGCCAGTGAACCCTCAGCAGCTCTCTACTGGCCAATGGGGATGTTGACAGAGCTGCCAGAGGTCTGACCTTGGGCAGGCAGACAGCCAGGAAGAACTCAGGGGGCGGTTTCTTATTGTTCCCATCTTTCAAGTCCAAGCCTAAAGTCTTCTATGTTAGAATCTGTGCTCCTAAAACTATTTCCTCCCTAACTCTACTTAATACGGGAATTTTGCTGAATGATTTGCCAAGAGATTTCTCCAACATGTTTTCCCAGTTTAGAAATAAAGGGCTGAGTTAGTAGCCATGAGAGTGGAAGATTGATGGGCAGGACTAGATTGCCAAATCCCTGAATTTTGATCCAGGCAGTTACTGCCTGTACCAGCCTCAGGAGGGACATATGCATAGAGAATGTTCCAGGAACACTCGGTCTCTGTAATCACTAAGACATCAGCCTCAGTCTCTCTCTGGTGGACTGTACTGGGATGAACTATATTAGAGCCCCCCCCCCTCAGATTTTCATTTATCCTTCTTTCCTGGGGCTTGGAGCAAGCCAGGATAAGCCTCCCTGTTCCTCTCTCTGTTTCCCCATGACCCCCTTGCTCCCACTCATATTGCCTGGAATAAGCCTGGCCCAAAGCACAAAGCATTTGTAAGTCTTGGTTTCAACACACCAGTGCAGTGGAGGGAAGAGAAAAGAGAGTCACACCTTGGAAGATAGCATCCTTCTTTCTTTCTCTGACACTCCTGCCCCCTGCCAAACTGATTCCATTTTGTATCTTGTAGGTTCCCCTTAGTTTTTGACATGACCGGGGCCCTTCCTGAAGTGAGCGGCATGAAGTGAGGGACTGGGGATGTTGCAGAGGGGCCAGAGCATCACTGGAAATGAGCGTGACGTCCAGACATTTTGGGTCCAAAATATGTATCTGAAGCCCCTCATCTGACCAAATACCCATTTACTTATTTCTTGTCATTCAGATCTAAGACTATATTTTCATAACCATCCACTTGGGCAAAAAGGCAAGAATTTCCCAGGCTAGTTATCTCAGAGGGGGAAGAATTAATTCTTCCCTTAACATGCTAATAGATAGGGGCATCATGAAGTCTTAGCCTCAGTCATGGGAGATCCAACTACAAAAATTGTCAGGGAACTTGGAACCAGGGAACTTGGGTGCAAAAGAAAGGGAGCTGTTTTCTTTATTAGGTTGCCTCTTAGAGCTTTAAAGGAGTCAGTCCAAGCTGGATTGAATCTTAACCCATCCACCCGTGGCTTTTCTTCATTGTGAAGTCTCCCAATGGCAGAATATGTCTAAGAGAGTATTTTGCGATATACTAGCAGTGTGTGTATATGCATGTCTACCCCTGTGTGTGCATGACTGTATGTGTGTGCATGTATGTAACATGTGGGAGGTTGATGGTGGATGAAACGACTTGAATTGACACGCAAAGATCTACTTACAGAAAAATCTTCTGTTTGGCATTTGCCTTGACTATTCTGAGTAAGAATACAATGGAGAAGTACAGTGGGACATCAGAAATGAAAAACATAACTTCATGGCTTGGGCCCCCTTTGAGGAGATAGTGTGAGAAGATAATGTGTGCTTTATAGGCGATCTTTGTTTCCAAGCCAAGGATGAAAAGAACATAAAGGTTCTCTGCTTTTAAGTGACCTTTTGCAAAGAAGGTAATGGATCTCCCCTATCTTTTAGGGCCACTCTGTAATGCTAAAAAGAATTCTTGGTTCAGATGGTTCAATAACTACTGTGATTTGGTCTTTCTCAGTCACCACAGGAGCCATGCTGGGAATTAATGGAGCAATGGAACTTCTTTTCAAGGTCATCACCCCTTACACCCAGAAGCGCACCCGAATAATCAGGTACAGAGCACTTTTGTAGTGCTTTTCCCCTCTTTGTAATAGATGCAGAGATGAAGAAGGCCTTGTGGCTTCTCATGGTGCTTCCGGTTGAGTTGAATGATGACTACCCACTTGCAGATATGGTGCAATGACTGTGCTGTCTCAACGGGCATCCCTCCCCAACTGCATGTGTCATTTTCTTTTATCCTCACAATGACGTTATCACCCTCATGCTCAGATGAGGAAACTACCATGTGGAGAGAGCTTTATCCAAGATCACAGTGCAAAGGAATGGCAGGGCTGGGATTTGAAAACAGATCTTTCTGACTCAAAAGCCCATGTGTTTTGCCTGAAGCTTTCTAGTGTCCCTTTTACTCCTAGCAATTCTACATAGTTTGCGTAGCCCTTAAAAAACAGTCTAGAAATGGCAGGCAGAGGTAACACTCCTCAGGGCATCTCTAGAGGCAGCCGGTTAAATTTCTGATATGAGATCCGGGCATTGGCATAGTCCATCTTGGTTGCTTGCTGGGTTTGAGATGTACTTTTATGATTAGAAAATGAAACTCAGCCCCCTCTCTCTGGCCCTGCTTGCTGGCGTGGCGTGAATCACAAACTTAAAAAGGGAGATGGTTAGACACATAGAAGATATTCGGAACCATTAAGATCCATCATTTATGGGAGTGACTCAGCGAGGACCTTGAAAGAATATTAGAAAGAATTCAGCCAATTTCTGAGATATATGGGGTCATTTGGCAAAGCAGCATTTCCATGCCCAGCCAGGAGATTTTCTGCACCTCAGCATCAATCTTAGGCTCTTGTTCCACCTGACTATTTTTCTCTTGGGTCACCACCATTATGCCATTATCATCCATCCTGACCTGCGACTCTCTATGCCAGCATTTCCTAGAGTGAAATACATTCTATTTCAGTAAAAAAAAAAAAAAAAAAATCCTCATCAAATATATTTGAGAGGCACTGAGTTAAACAAAATTACACAGATTCCTTTATGGTAAGACTTCCCTGAGCCTTTGTAAAGCCCACACACACCCAAAATATCCATGATGGGTACTTAGGACACCTTGTCTTACACCTGATATGGCCAGGGAACTGAGCTTTTTCAAAGACCACTGTTTTGGGGAGAAGTCAGTGTTCTATGCACCTCACTTTAGAAACCTCTGGAGAGCAAATGTATTGCAAAGCGAGATTCAACTAAATTCTACCAAGGGATCCTCAGCAAGTAATACAAAACTTCAGAGTCACAAATTCAGTGACTGAAAAAGATGAACTTTCCTGATTTTTCTGTAATTGTACTTTACTTCCATCTTAAACTTCCATTTAAGTCCACTCAGATATGTGTGATTTGGATGTGCGTGGTGTTTATCATCGTATGTAGGCCTTTGCTGCTGGCATCTGTAGTCTTAACACACCCTTTGGTTACCAGTCCATTAACTTGATCATTTTCTTCTATCAACAAGCCCTCTTCTAATCTGCTGGTGTTTCCATTCATCTGTTTGGCAGCTCCGGAGTATGTGGTTGCCTCCCGGACACTATGTGAAAATCTGTGGGATGGCTGCTGGGCCCTTCCACAGAGGAGTCTCACCCAGTCATCTCTTCCTGCCAAATGGGTGCCATGTTGTTTGGAAGGCTTCTCTAAGAAGCCTTCCTAGACAACCATAGCACTAGACTCCCTTCTGGGGTCCTGACAGGTTTTATTGTTTTCCTTGTTCAGGCCAAGCTGGGGCAGGATGAGTGACAATGCACAGAAGCCCCTTCTCAGAGCCTCATGCCAAGTTGCTATGTCTATTGCTCTTTTTCTTCTGCAAAGCAAGTTGAATTTGGGCGTAGATCTGATCAAGGTGCTATGGGAAAAAAAAATGATTCACAGGGGTGGATGTTTGCAATGACAAAAGGAACCTTTCAGGGAACTCAGGCCGATTTCTGCATTTCTGGTCTGTTCTATAAAATCTGGGCAAAATGATTTCCCCTTCTTGAGCCAAATGCCAAATTAATACCAAACCTCCATAGAGAAGAGCCTTCTTGACCAACCTCTACCATATGGCGATCATGACCATGGCATTCATTATGTGCCCTGCCCTGTCTTGAGCTCTTAGCAGGTGTTAGCCCATCTGATTCTTTCCTCTTCTCTGTGAGGCAGGTGCTATTACTGTGCCCAATTTCACAGGGAAAAAAATGGAAGCTGAAAGAAGTTAAGTGATTTGCTGGGATTTAAGTGGAAGAGCTGGGATTTAAACCCCGTCTGATACATGAGCCTTAGCTCTTAAAGCACCACTGGAGTGTCTTACATGGTTTATTTCCAGCATTTTATTTCTAAACCACCATATGTAAGACGATCATAAACACTTAAAGTTTGTTTAAATTTTTGTTGCCGTCTAAATGGCTCATACTCGTAGAGCAATTTGCTTAATGATAGGGGAGTCTTTCTCTTCAATCGAATGGCTATTTCCTCCCAAAGGCTAAATAAATGTCTGCTCCCTCCATTTTCGGATTCTTTCCCACAGCTGCCTTGTTTTCTGCCTTACTCCCAGCCCCCCATAGCCAGGTAAGTACCAAGGCACTGAAATCTGAAGACCAGCATTGTCGCCCTCATTCTAGCAGATTCCATGGCAACTCATTTAACCTTCCTTAATGGAGCTTTTGCATTTCTCCAAGTATGAATTCCAAGTCCTACCTCCTGGGTTTGTTGTGGACATTAAGACATAATGTGTAAAAATCTTGTAAACTTTGCTGTGACGTAACACTCTTAACCATTGTTAATACAAATCCTACTGGATCCTCGGCTGGCTGCTTCAGATCAGGCAGCAGGGCCAGAGGAAAGCACGCAAATAGCGAGTTTCTGCCCCTACCCACCTTCTCCCATGGACTCCATGCCCCCAAATAGTAACTAAGATGTACCCACATGAGTTGTGTTCAACTCTATTTGGATGCCAGCACCTATGGGTTCGAAGGGGTCTTCCAGGACAGGGATGAAAGTACCATGTCAGAGGACATGAATAGCCCTACAGAGTATCATCCTCCAAATGATAGCACGCTATTGGAGAGTTATCCTTGGGTGCCTTTGTAGAAGCCGATGCCCAGGGTTGTCACTTAGACTCCTCCCTGCCCTGGAGATTAAACCAGCCCTACTTCTCCAGCACAAACCTAAAATTAGTGGTGCAGCTGTCCTCCAGTGAAGTCCTGTCTCCACAGAGTACTCAGGGTGAGATTTATGACAGAGGCACTCACCACACACCTTCTAGAGAGAAGGGGCGTACAGGGCACTGCTAACCCTCTGTGGCTTGTGCCCATCCTCACCCCCAGGGAGGCGGTTATTCCCGGCCTGGCCTTCCTCACTTCCCAAATACCTGCCATGTTGGCATAGTTTTCCTGCCATGCATTTGTGTTGGCTTGCACCTCTTCCCTCACGACCAGCACTCCAGCCTGAACATGTTTGCTTCTACAGCCCTCTACCTGGTCTTTCCTGACTTCAAAGCAATGAAGAACCTGTCCCAATATCTATTCCATCCTTTGGTCCCTCCTCACTCTGTTTCTAGCCTATTCTCCTCACATGTGGTATGCCCCCTCCTGCCCCGAGTCTCTCCTCAGGTCTGACCTTCTGCTGGAATGGCATTGCTGCCTTACTGAGTGGAGAGATTCTCCCCACTCTGAAGGCCCCACCTTATGCCCACTGCTCCAGGTCACCAGACAGAAGGAATCTTCTCCCTCAGTGCTTCTCTAACATTTCATTCATACTTTCCTTTAACACATACCGGATTTAACTCTGTACTACATTGGCCTGTGTGTCTTCCCTTCTCTCTAAATTCTAACCTTTCTAAAGGTAGAATTCAAGTTCTCTTATCTTGCTGTTCTGTATAGGGTGTACCCAAGTGCCTGGACTATGGAAGGCTCTTAATTGAATTAAAAAATGTTTTGGGGGCACCTGGATGGCTCAGTCGGTTAAGTGTCTGACTTCGGCTCATGTCATGATCTCATGGTTCATGAGTTTGAGCCCCGTCTTGGGCTCTGCTGACAGTTCAGAGCCTGGAGCCGGCTTCACATTCTGTGTCTCCCCTCTCTCTGCCCCTCCCCCCACTCATACTCCGTGTGTGTGTGTCTCTCTCAAAAATAAACATTAAAAATTTTTTTTAACTAAAAAAATGTTTTTGTGAATAACCTATCTGGTGGTGGATAAAAGCCAACATTTACTGAATGTGCATTAAAGTGGACACCTTTTATTTATGAACCCATTCCTCCTTGATCCCCAGCTGGCTCCACGTGCATGGTTCCATCACATCTAAACATGCCTGGGACATGGCATGGCAGGCCTCCAAGAATGCTGTTGTGTGAGGGACTGAGGTGCTTTCTGGGCAATAGCTCATTCTAGGAGAGTGAGAAGCAGTGACCCTCAGCTTGAAAGAGAACACAATCTCACTCACTAGAGGGAAAGAAAAACTTGTGAGTCTTCTCTCCCTTCCTTACAGTTGTCTGGGGAACCAACCTAGTCTGGCAGAAGGGAGTGATCTGAGTTTGAATGGACGCAAGGGGCAACATCTATGTTAAAACTTTGCTTAGTATTTCAGATAGGCTTCCAGGATTTGGTTTGATGATTGATTCAGTTGGGGCTTTAGCATTTATGGGGGAGCTTTTTATAGCAGTAGGGAGGGAGAAATGATACTGGGCCAGGGCGAGCTGGCTCTTGCTAACTTGTTCCTACTGTGAACAAGTTTGTTTATCTGCACCAAAGCTGTCTCTGTGCTGTCCAGTTTCACTAAGTAGAAAAATTTATTGAGGCAAAGAAGGATTGCTTGTCTGTGACTGAATCATCTTGTGACCTTAGAGAAGCTTGTGTTTGTTCCAGAAGTAGACGCTTTCTGCTGGGAGCTGTGCTTCCTTTGTTCCTTCATTTCCAGAATGAGCTTAAGGGTTTTGGTAACAATAAGAATGGCCATTTTCACTGCTCATCCACTTGGCCATTTCCAAAGCATGGCCACATCCCCTCTGATCCTGTTGGATTCTCACACCAT